ATTGCTCAATTGATGCTTTTATCAATACCTGGTTATAATATTATGACATGTAATGTGGCAAGTTGAGTCGGGACATGTAGGCTATAATGTAACCTAAATGTATACATAAGTGGATTTCGTTTCATTTTTTTCGAAAATATTGTACAGATAAAAGAGGAGGAATTACAGGGGTAATACATTGGAAAGCTTCTTCAAGAACTAAAGCATAAACTATATAAACGAGCTTATAAAAAGGAAAAGTTTGTATAAAGACGTTTCGTTTGCACAACTGGGTGATGATAAATCACGTTTTGTCTTTCTAGCAGACGACACCGTTTTACGGCGAAAGCACGCGCTCTATTTGTGACGCTTAATTTATTTTATTATTCACTCGACGTCATCACTTAGTAGACTTACTATTTTTAATATGTTGTCTTCGGTATAAAGCTGTTTATGCACAAAACCAAATACTATGACATAGAATATTTTGTTTCATGGTTTATCGGCATTCTATTTGTCACTCATTCTATCGCTATTTATAGAATAGGCTACCTCGGTTACACAACTACGGTACCAAATGTATCTATTAATAAACTGCTCCCACTCCCAGGCTACAATTTGTACATGCTGTGTCTGCTAACAGGTATTTCCTAGATATCAACGGTCAAATTTCCCCGAATATTATTTTACATTTCTGTGATATGTGAAAAGGTTTGTTAAAATTAAATATTGAATACGATTTTATTGGAATGTACGATTTATGGGGAAGAAAAGATTTTACAACAGTGGAACGATATCGTAACCGAACAAAGCACGTGGTTTATTTAATGAGCCATTGATTGGCATTGTAATTGAATAGCGGTAAACGTGCGATATAAGCAAACTGACATGAACTCGCGATTTGTATTTTTCATTGCTTATCTCTGCTTACCCTAAGCGGAAAATGCTCATCTTCGAACTCCATTAAGGCATTGACCTAATCAACACATACACCAAGTTTGAACATTCTAGCTCAATTAGGAAGAGAGTTATCGTGCCCCAAAGTATCAACCAATCAAATTGCTTATCTCTGCTTACCCTAAGCGGAAAATGCTCATCTTCGAACTCCATCAAGGCATTGACCTAATAAACACATACACCAAGTTTGAACATTCTAGCTCAATTAAAAGTTATCGTGTCCCAAAGCATCAACCAATCAAATTGCTTATCTCTGCTTACCCTAAGCGGAAAATGCTCATCTTCGAACTCCATCAAGGCATTGACCTAATCAACACATACACCAAGTTTGAACATTCTAGCCCAATTAGGAAGAGAGTTATCGTGTCCCAAAGCATCAACCAATCAAATTGCTTATCTCTGCTTACCCTAAGCGGAAAATGCTCATCTTCGAACTCCATCAAGGCATTGACCTAATAAACACATACACCAAGTTTGAACATTCTAGCTCAATTAGGAAGAGAGTTATTGTGTCCCAAAAAGTGTGACGGACAGACAGACGGACGGACGGACGGACGGACAGACAGACAGACGGCCGAACCCATTTTAATAGTCCCCTGCTTTCTTCGAAAGGCGGGGGACAAAAACGTAGCTAAAGAAACATATCAGCTACAAAATGGAGCATAAAATTGGCTGTCCAGTCCAGTCCAGTCAGTATGTTGTTAAATTTGGTTTGGACTCAACCAGAATAATCTATATCAAGCCTGCCAAAAACCGAGGTAGGTCTTCGATGTATAATAATAATAATAACTAAACCTGTCCTCGAAACAGGTTTGATAGTTTTTATACATCCCAATCACACACTTCTACATTGATTTCAAAATCTAGTACATTAATGTGTTTCGTGGTCCTGGCTTCTTTTCCAGAATCTTAAAGAAAAAAAAGAATTATTAAAATCTGTCAAAAACTCGCTATCATACAGTTAAATCATTTCAGCGGGGCAAAATTTCCTGTTTCTTTCAACAAATTGCACATAGCCTATGTTTACAGACCGATTGTGGTAAAACTTTCAGAATAAGCACCAAATGGCTTAGTTAATCGTTTACCATAAAGATTTTACACGATTTCCATGTTTGGCATTTTTTTTTTAAAAATTCAATTTTATGACGTCATTTTAAAAACAGCTAGGTCAAATATCATAATTATTATTATTAGAAGTAGTAGTATTATTATTACATCATATTTATAGTGTGCTCTTTCATATAACATGTTCAGGGGCACTTTACAAGGTGACAATGTAATCATAAATAAACAACAAGATTATACGATTGTATACAGAGTCAGTTACACACTGATCAGCAGTGAATATTCGCTAGGAAGCGGCAATCACTGATAAATATGACATCGATGCGACTTAATGAGCCACAAATATTAACTTTTTTTCCTCCGACAAATTAAATTCCAAAACATTTTTTTTTTTTATGTATTAGAAAAACACATAAATACGTTTGACGTATTTGTAGGTAAAAAGTATTTCCTATTTAGTGTAAATGGATATTATAATGAGTAAAAGGCTCCGTTCCGCCCGAACCAGTAAGGTCTTATGTAAGCACTAAACAACGCACGCGCCATTGAGCCAATGATTGACGCCGCGTGATCAGATGTCACGTGTTGAAGATTGTCATCTTTTACAGAGATATTATAAGACTTTCGTAATCCTCTGTGAAACAGATTGAGTCAATTAAAAACCTGATTAAATAAATGTGCTTTAAGTTGTTTTTTTAAAAGAATATAGAGATGTACAACATCGTAAACTAAATGGTAGATTATTCCATAAAACAGGTGCTTGATAACTAAAAGAGCGCTGACCATAAGAGACTAGTTGAACAGTTTTGGGCTTTAAAAGTAGTTTATCTGAAGCACGTAATATTCGGCCAGGTGTATAAAGTTCTAAAAGATCTGAGAGGTAAACAGGAGCTAAATTATTTAAACATTTAAAAGTAAGTAAAAAATCTTTAATTAATTCGATATTTAACAGGTAACCAGTGTAAATTATATAATCCAGGAGTTATGTGGTCGCATTTCCTAGTTAGAGTAACAAGTCTATCTGCACTATTCTGTACTTTTTGTAGTTTATCTATAAGCTTTAAAGGTAAACCAACTAAAAGTGAATTAAAGTATTTTACCTATATTTCTGATATTAAAATAGCACAATTTACAAATATTATTTACTTGAGCTCCCATAAGCATAAAATCCGTCTATCGATTGTTAATAGTGAATGGTTTCCAAAAATATAAAGATAGTGAAAATCGAATAAGTATTGTAGGACGAGATTGATTTTTTCAAGATTTACTTCCATTTTCAGAATGAAGGCAATTCCGGTGAATTTTAAATTGTCTAGATTACTCTAAAAAGTTGATAAACGACTCCTATTGACAAATATTTTTAAAGAAGGAAGTTGAAAATCTGACGTTTCCAAAAGTTTCTTATGACGTAATATAGATAGAAGACCAGTTGTAATACTATAGAGCCTATAAACTGTAGAGTTTATTTAAGTTCTCTATAAAATATGCTCTGGTTAATGTAATCAAGTCGTTAGCTAGTACCAGTGACAACAAGAACTGGGCTAACAAGGAAATGTCGGGTATACAAATCGGGCAATGACATCATAGTCTGATAATCCAAATATGGCAACCCCATGCGTTGGAAACTCGGATAGCCGCCCTCCTGGGTGCCCATAGAACTATAAGTACACTGTGTTGAACTTCAAGGTAGCTTCTCTACCTCGTCACTTTCCCGGGGATTCAATACATGACTCATGCACGTATACTCTTTATAAAGAACGTGCGGGGTTTAAGTTTCTTCAAACATCATTCGGAGTTCCCAGGGGAACATCATACCTCCTAGTCTCCTCGGCTTAGAGGCTAGGGTGAGGACATCATCTCGTATTCTCAGAAAGACATTCCCACAGCCTCCTATGCTGAGAGGATGGGAAACACCGCCGCAAAACACAAGTTAGGGAATATGGAACTTATATTTAGCTTACATTATTTATGTCATTGTTGTATGTGTAGTTTCCTGTATATAACCTTTGTTGTATTCGATATATTAATTTAGTTATAACGCAAAAAGTGTTCAAGAGTTAATTGATCATATACACAACGTGAAGTCAAAGTTGGTTCCGAATTGATCCTAGTGTCACGGACACTTTTCTGGAAGTTTCTGATTAAAGTCACATCTGTCCCCGTAGCGTCATGCTATGATAGTAATTCGAGGGCAAAATATTGCTTACTAAAATGACTTAATTTCATTCTACATGTAGAAGCACTAAACTCATATTTTGGTTAACATTTAAATTAGCGTCCGACATTAAAGGTGCTGTGCCATACTCTAAAATTATTGATTTTTTAAAGGTGCACAAAATCTTTGTTTACAAACCGATTATGATGAAATTTTCAGAATAAGCAACAAAGGACTTACGTTATCGATTATCGTCAACACTTTACCTGATTTTAAAGTTTGAGACTTTTTAAAAAGATAATTCAATTTTATGAAGTCACTTTAAAAACATCTACGTCAAATATAAAAAATTGTAAATGGTTTGCAAAGATATTGAAAATCGGATAATAATTGTTGGACGAGATAGATATTGAAGACTGACTTTCGTTTTCAAAATGGTGGCACTTCCGATGAATTTTAACTTGAGATTGCTCTAAAAAGATGACAGACGACTCCTATTGACAAATATTTTTAAATAAGGCAAAGTTAAAGAAGTTGAAAATCTGACATTGTTTTCAAAAGGGAGATAATCGGAAAATTATGTTGACAATTTTCACTGTTTTCAAATTTAAGCTTAAAATTAAGTCATACGCATGCGTGATAGAGACCACATTCTATTAGACAAAACTTGTAAAGTACAAACGCCTACCCATTGTTGAAAACCACATTAAAATTGATAACAGAAAAAGGTTTTCTTTGATGTCTAATATTTGTCTATTTTCGTCTATGACATTTTTTTCAAGTTTTAGTTATTCATTAGGCTTTTGAACGAATTACCTCTCAGATGGTATAGAGTGGGACCCTCCTGGGTTCCCTTTAAACAACCCATGACAGTTAAAATATTTGATATAAGAGTAGGTTGTAGGGCAGAATCACCATAATAACACAGAAAAGTAGGATATTAAACCCTATTTCATTTCATAAACAAGAGAAAGTCACCTTAATGTAGGTCAAGGTTTTTTGTAATTCTGGGTATATTTGATCTACATTTGGTTTCTAGACTATGCCTATTAAATACTTTATCATTTCCGACCAAATTCTAAGTGATTTATATGTCACTTTACATTCTATATTATACATAAATTTCTGTAGAGAATTAAAATCTAATTGTGTTTGGGATGAATATTTAACAGTAAAAACAAAAAAAAATATTCAAAAATTGGGTCAAATGCATTCTTTTCCAGAATTATAAAATAAATTGATGCTTGGGATCTCTTGTTGTTATCATACATCAAATAATCTTCCAGCCTAAAAAATAAAAAGTAGGCAATAAGAATACTTTCTTACTATTTATGGTTCACAATGTTTAAATAAACAATTTATTTTGCCACATCGAGACTGAGTCTCTATTTTGTTTCATCTTTGGGTAACACTTATTGTGTCTTGTCCAGTAACAGACCCAGGCAGATTATTATATTTTATTTCCATCGACAACAAATTGGATATTACCTATTAAAATCTATTTGAAAAGTAAAATATTGTCCATTTTTATACTGCTATTTACTGTAAAAATACACAAAGGGTCTATCACAACTTGAAGAAAATCAATGGATGTGATTGTCAAAAATCAAGAATGCCAAGACTTGAATAGGAGAGTCCTAGGCATTGCCCCAAGAAGAATAACTAGATTACCAATCAAGTGTATAGAACTAGTTGATGATTAAAAATACAAATATGTATGTTACTTACATTTTACCTGATTATCAAGCTCTGTGAGAAAAAGTTTCCATAATATGAATAGCCATTTCCAACTGTCTTGATCTTTCTGATGTAGTTAACTGAGAAAAAAAACATACTATGTTTTAGTTGACTTAAATCGATTCAATATTTAAATAGACGAAAGTTTTAATTTAATTAAATTGTATTGTAATGTGTTGGTTTGCTTTGTCACAGATGAGACAAAATGAAAAAAATGAAATGAAATGGGGTTTGGCGTCCTACTGTTCAGCTTCGACTGGGCTAATGAGGTTGGGCATATGCCATACAGTGTGCCACGAGAGAAATTTTGCCGGGTACCGTGACCCTAAGGCCTACTCTTGTATCAAATTCTAACTGCCAGGGGCTCTTTTACATGCACACCAATGTGTACACGGGACCACGTTTTTTTGTTCAATCTGAACGACTAGACAGCTGTCCTTGTAAGGCCCCCCGTACTGCATCGTCTTACTGCAAACCCGCGACCTTAAAATATGCAAACCAGTGTCTAACCCACTTGGTCACCATGGGTCCCCACAGATGAGATAGTCATATCTACATGTATCTGGACATAAGTAAGATTCTGTCTGTGCACACTCACCCTCCAAAAACACCTATGAGAAATCATAGGTGCTCAAATCACCATTTCTTCAGCTCTTTCTTTTCCCATATTTGGGTTTTTTGACTTATTTTATTATATGATCTTTGATTTGCTATGCAGGGCTTGCCACGAGACGCGAGAAATTACTCGCGCGCACGCTACGCTCGCGTAAAACCAAATTTACGTGAGTGATTAAGTACTCGCGCAAATATAAAAAATAATTTAATCAGAAATAATTGAATATCGTAATATAAAAAACCGTAAACAATTTGTATGCCTTCATATTGATGCACTATTGCGCACGCGGCGTGTCTTTCCAGTTCCAACTGTTGTTACTAAAAATACTTTGAGACGCGTACTGCCAGGCGGTTTTTAAGCGGATGTCCTTTGCCGTGTCTGGATAATCAAACATTGAGCGGATGTTGTCGTTTCTATTAATAGCAATTCTTTCGATCCCGCATCTTTTCTACAAATTGATGGGATTGAAATTGTTTTGCCGGTTCTTTTACCTTTCTAAGCTTTACCCGAATCCCCTCAGCACGCCAACGATGGCAAAGGGAAACCCAGTTTCCCTTTCAACGTTATTGTCATGGGAAGACGATTTACAGATAATATTACTGCCAAGGAAATAAAAGAGTATGCATTGCCTTTGTGTGTGAAATAGCTTTATTCAACGTCCGCTTCCACCGAAGTGACAAGAGCATTGCAATTAGGCACATGGAATTTAAATGGCTACTCACGCACATCATTCTGCGTGAGTAAATACATGTAATTGCCTCACTCGCGCAAGTCTATATTTGCGTGAGTAGTCATCTACTCGCCTCCAATTTGCTCGTGGCAAGCCCTGCTATGGCATCTAATATGGAAACTGAAAAATATGAATATGTGACATGTGATTAACTGTTTAAGATACCTTACCATATACAAACTGTGTGATATCTAAAACCATTTTAATCCCGAAGATCTTACCTAAACCGTGAAAATCTGTTTAATAACCCTTGTTTGTCATGTGACTGGAGAGTCACAGTAATTAAAAGAGAGCCATGTGGCTTAGTGTGTAAGGCACTGGCTTGCTACCCGGGAGGTTGCGGGTTCGCTCCCAGTGTTGACCGAGAAAGCTCATTTGGATTTTTCAGCATGGATTCCCTGTCTAGTCGTCATGGTGGCTAAGTGGGTAAGACGCTGGCTCGCTAGCCAGGAGGTCGGGTGTTCGATCCCTGCATTGGCCGAGAAAGTTCACCCAGATTTTCCGGCGTGGTTTCCTCTTGTTAGTGATGCAGGACGGAGGGCCTGACAAGGACAGCTGTCTAGTCATTCAGATTGAACAAAAAAACGTGGTCCCGTGTACACATTGGTGTGCATGTAAAAGATCCCCTGGCAGTTAGAATTTGATACAAGAGAAGGCCTTAAGGTCACGGTACCCGGCAAAATTTCTCTCGTAGCACACTGTATGGCATATGCCCAACTTCATTAGCCCAGTCCTCCGTACTGCAATGTCTTACTGCAAACCCGCGACCTTAAAATATGCGAGCCAGTGTCTAACCCACTTGGCCACCGTGGTCCCCCACAGATGAGACAGTCATATCTACATGTATCTGGACATAAGTAAGATTCTGTTTGTGCACATACATGTACGTGCACAAATTTACTATACTAAACTGAATTTTAAATTTCAAAACAATAAAATGAAATGGAGGTTTATGTCACATCAGCTCCAACCGGGATATATTGTGCCAAACACATTATGGTGAGATTCTAAAATACCATAACAACAATCTTTTCTATTAGAATTGAACACTCACCCTCCAAAAACACCTATGAGAAAGCATAGGTGCTCAAATCACCATTTCTTCAGCTCTTTCTTTTTCCATATTTGGGTTTTTTGACTTATTTTATTATATGATCTTTGATTTGCTATGGCATCTAATATGGAAACTGAAAAATATGAATATGTGACATGTAATAAACTGTTTAAGATACCTTACCATATACAAACTGTGTGATATCTAAAACCATTTTAATCCCGAAGATCTTACCTAAACCGTGAAAATCTGTTTTAATAACCCTTGTTTGTCATGTGACTGGAGAGTCACAGTAATTAAAAGAGAGCCATGTGGCTTAGTGTGTAAGGCACTGGCTTGGTACCCGGGAGGTTGCGGGTTCGCTCCCAGTGTTGACCGAGAAAGCTCATTTGAATTTTTCAGCATGGATTCCATGCCTAGTCGTCATGGTGGCTAAGTGGGTAAGACGCTGGCTCGCTAGCCTGGAGGTCGGGTGTTCGATCCTTGCATTGGCCGAGAAAGTTCACCCAGATTTCCCGGCGTGGTTCCCCCTTGTCAGTGATGCAGGACGGAGGGCCTGACAAGGACAGCTGTCTAGTCATTCGGATGAAATGGAAAAACGAGGTCCCGTGTACACGTTGGCGTGCACGTAAAAGATCCCTTGACAGTTGGAATTCGATACACCGCAGTGCCGCTGTCCGGGCAAAATTTCCCTCATAGCACACTGTGTGGTGTATGCCTGTCTTCATTAGCCCAGTTCGGAACAAAACAGTAGGACGTTAAACCCCATTTCATTTCTAGTCGTTTCAATGGAACACAAAACCTGAGGTCCCATTGGTGTGCATTTAAGCCGATAGTATGGTAGTTGGAATTTGTTGGCTGTAGCACCCATGTCACAGTTCGACTGCTAGTTTGCGATACCCACTCAATATGAATGAGTGGTGATTGGCTAATGAATTCTAAAATCAGACGAATGCTTCGGCGAAGCGGACACACCACTCAAATACAATTCGGCCAAATATATCAAACATGTTTGATTCGGGCGTATGCCAGTGGATAAACTAGGTGAAGTTTAGCGCCAATTGATTCAGCCAAATCCTTTGGCTAGTTTATCCAGCACTGACGATTTAAGTTTGTACTTTCTTTATATGCAAATATCACATTTGAAAGAGGCTGTAAGCCTACTTTCTTTATATGCAAATATCTTATTTGAAATAGGCCATTATTATGTGATTCCCCACTTGAATGTGACTAGGAATAGGGTCGCCTGTCCAGCCTTGTGGGTTTTCTCCGGGTCCTCCGGTTTCCTCCCTTTGCTAAATACCCCTAGGGTGTATTCGAAACAGTGTTCCGGTGCAGAGAACGGACGGAGAATGGGTTCTTGTCGGACTTGAGCAGTCTGGAATGCGTTCACGAACACATTCCCGTTCTCAAATCCCACACTACCTCATAGCTGGTGTGAGGGAGAACAAACATGGTCGACGTATCGATAACTGCTGAGAAAACAGCATCATGGGTGCATTTATTAATTTAAAAGTTTAATACCGTTCGAAAATTGGATGTAGTATGTGGCCAGTATAACATCAAGTAAGTTAGGTTGCCAGGCAACGAAACATATGCCCACAGCAGTTTAATCGTTTGCGCAGTCAACAGGGATTGTCGCATATTCATTCTTTTGTAGGTAATGTGGGCATTTACAAGAAAATTTCATACAAGATTATAATTTTCGTCGTTTGTGGGTTTACAAAGGTCCACGCATCGATAACTGCTGAGAAAACAGCATCATGGGTGCATTTATTAATTTAGAAGTTTAATACCGTTCGAAAATTGGATGTAGTATGTGGCCAGTATAACATGAAGTAAGTTAGGTTGCCGGGCAACGAAACATATGCCCACATCAGTTTAATCGTTTGCGCAGTCAACAGGGATTGTCGCATATTCATTCTTTTGTAGGTAATGTGGGCATTTACAAGAAAATTTCATACAAGATTATAATTTTCGTCATTTGTGGGTTTACAAAGGTTCTACAAACTGAAACAAGGGCCTTAATTGTTGAAATTTGAAAGATTTTTTTGTTTTGTGTTTTACTAATTTAAATAATGCATACAATTTTCATACAAATCGGATGATAATTTTGTTGTTCGTGCGTTCACTACGTTCGAAAAAGTGAAACAAGGGCCACAACTCTAGACATAATTCACAGAAATCGCAGAAATTTAATAGACGTCTTCGTTTCACTAATTTAAAAGATTCAAATGAATTTCACAAAGTGAAACAAGGGCCATAACTCCAGAAGAAACTAACAGAAATTATTGAAATTAAATAGGATTCATCTCATTAAAATAAACAACATATCAATTTTAAAATAATCAGTTCTGTAGACGACGGACAAACCTACGGACGAGGGCGTATCAAAAGGTGATGTAATCGTCATCCAAAGAATTGAAAAGGAGTAAAACGGTGTCATAATTTATCAAAATTATGCTTAATAGCGAAGTAAATACTAAACAAGTTATCGTAACAGATTGTATAAATTTAATTCATCTTGTTACCATGGATACCGTTCTCTCATGTTCGAGACTCATGAAAGTGTTTTCATGTTCTTCAGCTGTTCTCGAACCTGCGCAAACACTGTTTGTTGATGCTAACTTCACTACATCTATCTAACTGAATGTCGCTGATATAATATCAAAGAAAGAATTTGTCGCAATGACTAAAGTATAGATACTTCTTCTTAGTTAGTTGTATTTTACATCCGCTTCCACCGAAGTGATATCGCAGACAAAAAGTATAGATGACTTGGAGAACCATTATATCAATAAGTCGATTATGAGATACACGTGGATGATCAATTAAATTTGATTGGTTACTTTTCAGTTAACCAATACTGTCCAATTTCGATTACATCAACCAATTACATTATTAAGAGTTTTACTCATTTTTTTTGTTCATTGTACATTGAATCAATTTTCGAAAACACCAGGGTGCTGAAAATCACATGTACACTATATATTCATTTGATCTATCAGTTTATTGGGTCAATAAAAAAAGACAGACATTTTAACTTTACAGACAACTTAACATCAATTAACATTCAAGTCTGTCTGGCAATTGTCTGATTAATTGGTACTCACACCCTTCCAGTGAAGAACAGCATGTGATTTTCGAGATGTGAATTAAGCCCTTTATTACTTTTCTTAAAACTTGACGACTCCCGAATTCAGACTTTGTATGGAGTTTTTTTTTTAAAAAGAAAACAAATCTTGGAAGGTACACATTACTTGTGTTAATGATATGAAAAAAACACAAGATTTTATAAATCGACACAAGTTTGTGTTAATGCAATGCAAAACAACACATAACTTGTGTAGATTAGTTTTAACACAAGTACTTGTGTTGAGATCCAACGCAAGTGTTTTTTCAGTGTAGTAAAAATATAATTAAATCAACCAGTCCATAATAACATATTTAAAGATACATTATGGGAGATAATGGCAGTTCTCACTATAATAGTTAAAAACTAGATAATGTAAAGGCAATTTGCTGAAAATTTCATTCAAGTCGATCCACTATGAACCGAGAACTAAGTGGTTAAAATTTCCGACTAGCCTTGATCATCATATCCATTTAATCGTTAAATCGTGGAGGAAAGTTATGTAGTAAATCGGCTCATAATCCACTAAGGATCGCAGGCTAGTGATGCCATCTATAGTTGATTATGGTCTGGATAGGTTAATTAATGTCTAATTAATAATTTAGATAACATTTCAGGCCTAAAGAAAGACCTGCAATAGACAAATTTAGCTCTTGGATAATGTGTGTTAATGAATTCGACGTTGAATCTGTAATAAACAACTTCTTCACTCCTCAGGCAGATTGGGCCCTGGGCGCGCAGATTGTAACTGTCAACTTTGCGCTGATTACTCCTCTATGATTCAAACTGTCAACGTTGCGCTGATTACTCCTGGATGTTTTTCGACTTTGTACTGTAATGATTTTTTCAAATAAATTTCAAAATCACTGCATAATTAGTGTGTGTGCTAAGAATAAGATTTATATTCGAGTCTGCGGTATCTCATAGTCTTCGCTATTTATATACGTCAACTGATCTCATGACTGAATGTACAAAAATATTTGTTGTAATTACCGTAAACTTCAGTGTTATTTTTCTATAGTTAAAATAAATACATTTATAACAAATATTTAGCAGATTTCTAAAAAGAATTATCGATGTAGTGCACTGCTGTGATGCCGTCTCCTCTCCTTGGACCAAGATTTTGGAACACCACAGGACCCACTCTGTGGTTCAGGCCGATTCCATCCCAAACCATTATGCTTGGACCTCCTCATGAGTCTCGTTCCATAACACATTGGTCAAAATAACGATGGCCAAGTCGACGCCATATTCTGGTCCTGCCATCTGCAGTTGATACGCAATACCGACTCTCATATGTGAACAGAACAGTTCTCCATTGCCTGTGTCGCCAGTTCTGGTGTTGTTGGGCAAACTGTAGACGTTCACGTCGATGGCGAGGGGTGAGGATCGGTCTACGGTAAAGTCTACTGCAATGGATGTTCTCAAAAATAAATTTGGGTGTGATTTTAGCACGAATTCAGGAGCCTCTGCTGAGAGGTTACTATCAATTGGCTCCGATTTATCGGGTATCTTTATCACAGTATTTGGTGTATTACCAAAGTCTATGTCTAGATCCTGGTATTCAGGCTCCGACTCTGAATCAGGAGTGTCACTGTCAGTTTTTACATGTGGACTTGGGCGTGTCTTGATTTTATGAGGCTTTTTCAGTTTCACAGATTGTACACCCAGTGAAGGCTCATCACATGGAAGTAGTAAATTACGATGTAATGTTCTATCCATACCTGTGTTATTTTCATTACAGACAGTATAAACTGGAACATTTAGTGACTTATACGAATAACATAGACGTCTGGTTCCCATTTATCGGCTAGTTTATGTTTTCCACGAATACTAACGTTGCGAACCAATACTCGATCACCAATCTCCAGTTTTACTGCAAAAGCTTTCTTATGATAAAGTTTTTTGTTTTTCTCACAAGATTTAAGAGTATGGTTTAGGACAGTCTCATAAGTGGATTTTAATCTGTCCTTTAAATCTGACACATATTTACTCACAGATTTACTTGATTGGCACATACCAGGGTCGGTGCCAAATGCAATATCAATGGGTAGTCTAACGTGACGACCGAACATGAG